CTTGCTGCTTCTTGAATCATTGTCCTGTTGCAGTTTCAAAGTCGTTTAAAATGGACTTGTAACCTGTTCCTGATTCTGAGTTGCTTTTAAATGATCCTTGCTGAAGTTTTTCCTCTTTGACAATGTGACAGTGCATACCCTAATACTTGGGAGGAGCAACTCTGTTTTTGGGATGACAATGCATTGCCTGGGTTCTCTTTCTTCATTCCGATGTAAGCCATTAAGGTTGTATATTTTCTCAATCCTGGATATTGGCTCACTTTTATTTGAATAGACATTGATTGTCCTAATGGATGCAACTTTAGAATTTCACAGAAGGTGTATGACATATTTCTCTCACTTTAACATTATATTTCATACTGGTGAATTAAGTAAAGGTGTAAATGAGGAGTGAAAATAATAAAATTCTGTCCTATGTCTATGAGGAGAAACAGATATGACCATAAACATGTGTTTGTGCCTTAAAATCTTCCTTGATTTGAGCTCTAAATATGACTCTTCTCTGTTATAAGAAAAAGACTTCACTATTCAAAATGGTAAGAGCCACAGAACTCAATATGTGCAGACTAGACCATTTGTCTTCAACTTGAGTGCTGACGGATTGCCCTGTCTACAAACCCCTTTTTTTCTCTGCCACTTCCCAATTCTGTCTATTCTTATTTTCTATCTGTGCAGCAGTGCCAGAGCAGTCCATATATAACTGTAACAGAGATCTGAGTCGTGGGGAAACAGATGAGCGATACATTTGAAAATATTCCGTTTCGGAGCCAAAGGATGTAGTGCCACAGGTCATATTTCACCTCAACATCACCCCCCCCCCACACACACACACACACACACACACACCTCCAGCGGGACATCCATCCTCGCTGTCAGCTGCCAGCTCCCAGTCTCTTCATCTGCCCACCTACCTCCACGCTCGCCTGTCAAAGTGAAAAAAACTGAGGTCTGGGGGGGAAAAAAAAAAAATCTGATTTGTTTCCCCCAGAACCTAAACAAGAGGAAAAAAAACTGCCGATGCATTTGTGCAAGGTTTCCTCTCACCCCATCACTCCTGCGCTGGACCCTGCTCACACGTGGCGGTAATCGGGTTTTCGTCTGTCACTGCGCCGCCGCGGGCGTTTTAGCACCAGGGGAAGGGCCAAAAAGGGCTTTTTGGATGACTGTTTTGGGTTGTTATTGCCTCATGCTCGCTGAGGCAGCTGGAAGGATCCAGGCCGACTCTGGTCTTTGCTGCTTGAAGGCTTGCAGCGGGGTTTTGCTCCGTGGTTGCCACTGAGGCTCGTTGAGACCAATGGGCTAGCTAATTAGCCCCCGAAGGCAACCGGGATATGCCCAATGGCCTTGTTAGAATACCAAGATGTGGGAGCAGCACGGGTGCGGGAGGTGGGCGGTTGTTGGAGATAATAGAGAAAGTGGAGGAAGCTGCAAAGGAAGATGGTATTCCATAATTTTCTGAATGAAGATAAATGAGAACCTGAAGCCTTTCTGGAGACGTTCGATGAGTCCCTGGGCTCTGAGGTTATGAGCTGGATACTATCAGCAGCATCTGAAGGGACAGAACATCATTTCAGAACCATAAATGCAAGCGTGTTAGCATTGATGGAACCAATGTCGGTTTGTCGGTTTTGTAACTCACCTTTTGTAACTCACTTCACCATAAATGTTCTTTTCGGAAACATGAAGTATGTTGATTTGCATCCCGATGAATATACAACAATAGATTTATTTTAAACGCGAGTACACCGGCAAGATTACGATAATCTTGTTATTTCGTAAGGGAAAAAATGTCTTGGACAGTGTAGATCATGAGCTAAGGGTGTGTTCCATGATGACGAGGAAGCATGGGAAAAACCAGACATAACACAGACATAAGTGGGAAGAGAAAAAAATATGCTTTTTCTGTTTTTAATGTTTTAATGCTGTCCGCCATGTAAACCAAACCCTTCTATTTGGTCCTCTGCTCATACAAGTGTATACAGCAGGACAAGTTAAGTTAAAGAAGGCTAGTGCCATAAAACAAATCTAAAGAATTAATTGATTAAATAGTTGTCAAATGCATTATATTTGAATAAATGTGTTCCACAGTCTGCAGTTGGATGTAAAAAGTACTGTGTGAAGAGGATGAAAGGTAAAAACAGAATAGCCCCAAAAAATATTTAGAAACCAAATGTTATGACTGACAATGATTTTCCATTACGGCAAAGGAATATCCAGAAAAATATAAGTTGTTACTCCCAGAGGCATTGTCTTCAAATCAAAACGGATGGGTTTCTTGGCTGACCTCATAGTGGCAAAAAAAAAATAGAAAGAGGGAAAGTTGTAATCAAACATAATGTTAGAAACACATGCTACAAATCATTGATTTGGGATGTCACAACACTAAAAAGTTTGATCTGCTAGTGGCATTAGGCTTTAGTCATCCATCCCCCGCGGGCCATCAGTCTTCATATTCTAATAAAAGCTAATCGTGACGACACAGTCAAGTATTTCTATATTTCTGGTAAACGACCGTCTCGTAATAAATGTGATTCTTTATGAATATGTCTGCTTTTTGGATAATCCTTTTTATAACGTACAGTCAAAACTATGGATTTAGTAGATTTTTATTCTCAAATGTTGGTGGAGATTTATCACTTATCCTAAATGGACAAACAGGCTGACCCAGAGGGCAGGGTGACATAATGAAAAAGTATTTTTGAAAGCAAAACCATTTCATAATCCATTTGCTGTCACATGAGAAACACAAATATTCGGCAACCCTTTTTTTTTTTTGCACAATAACCCCAAGATTCTCAGGATAGATGAACCATTAGGACTGGATGAATAAAACGGGAACTCCATCCAACGCCTCATTTCCTCTCAAAGATAAAAACAAGTTTTATGGTTTGACCTCTCCCAACAGGTTCTCTTCCTTTCTGAGCAGGCCACGTTGTAATCTCACACATCACTGTCTCGCTTAATCCAAAAATAATATCGAACGCATTAGTAAAGGCAAAGGCCTGGAAAATCCAATCTGAAATTCATACTGTGTGTTCATGCACTTGAGCAATCTATATGTGTGATGTCAAGCGTGGTTTTACTGGGTATTTATCATGGGAGAGGAATAAGTCACAGTAAATCCAGGAGAAGACTGTTTTACTCTATATCTGAGTGCTGGAATATAGAGGCCTGACCTTTTCGAATTATTATATAGGACAGTAGACAGCATTTACAGTGAAGCAGAAACAACTTTCCCTACAAAAAAAGTCAATGTTAAAAGGTGGTTATCAGCTAAATACAATAGTAAGGGTGATGAATTGGTTTAGAGTGAATTTGAATTAATCTGGGAGCGCTACCAAACAATCAACACGTGTTTGTTTGTTTTTCTGTTTGTTTTTCGGGTCATGGACTTTAAAAATTGACAAAAACTGAAGCTTTTAGAGTCGCAGATCACTAACCATTTGTTTTTAAGGTTTTTTTTCCACTGATCAATCCAACCTGATGAAAAACTGTCTTTTAACACCCCTACCGGTGAACAATCCTCCTCACTGCTGAATGCCAGTCTCCTAAATGTTTAAAAATGGTGATGTAATCTTCCCACTTTGACAGGCAGAACCCTAACACTGCATTTTTGGATTTTGTTTTTGTGGAATAAATTGAGATTCACTGTCATGACAAAACCTGAGGTAACAGGTACCAAATTTCATCAGAATACTTTTCTTTTTTATTGCACACTCATAGTAAAACCTTTTAAGTCAATTTTCTTTGTTGGTGAATTAGTTGGCACTGACATTTTTATGTAGCATCATCATTTTTTTATTTATTTGAAACATACTTTGGTTTATGGTCAAATAAACTAAAGGGATTGGTCACTTTCATATGTTTGAATTTGAGATAACAAATATTTGACCTTTTCAACATTATGTAAATGATGGTCTGATATTAACATTTTGGTCAGAGCTAAGCTCCATGGAGCAGCCAGCATGGCAGCCTTTAAATAAAAAATGTTCTTTTCAAATAAAATTAGATATGAAATCCCAGGCTGAATCCCTGCGGTGAGCTTTATCTTCAAGACAAAGATTGGCTTAAAATGTATCCATTCTAGGAAGAATTAGTGTTATAAAAAAAAAGGTTATCACATCTCTGTTATCCCTGAAGATAATGCTTTCCTTACATGTAATCTGGAAAAGTATACAGCTGTGTGACTTTGTTAGCCCTTCGCTGCTATTGGATTTTAGCAGCACAGGTAAAGAAAGTGCAAAGAAAAAAAAAAGTGTCCTCTGTAACGAAGGACGAGTAATTACTTAAGCCGACTACACAGAAGACCTTTCCACCGGCTGATATATTTCACGAGAGTACAGTCTGGAAAGGCTAATGAGGCGTGCTGTGTCAGCAACTTCTCATTTGACACCTCTGGTGGCTATCAGAAAGGGTAGAAAGACAAACCGGGTTATTCAGAGCCCGCTTCATTTGCCCATGTGGAGACGGGGCGGAGAGGAAATGAGACCAGGCCACTCGACGGTTAAGAGACGGATGCATTTAATTAGCCAATCCGCCGCGTTTCGCCACCCCGGTGGGCACGATACCTCCTCGCATTTCTGGAAAGTAATTGTCACCTGCTGCATCAGCATCCAGCGGATCCGGGCATGCCATCAGAGGTAGAAATTCCACCCCCCCACACCCCCCCCTTCCTTTGCATTCCCAATAGGAGCTTGTAAAAATAGAACCGCAGGCCCACATCAGCCCCACACTGTTGTTCAGAGATAACCTGCGTAAACTAATGCATATATTCTTACTAAGAATATATCTCTGCATCATAAGGTTCTTAGCAGGTAAACAAGTGACCCCTTCTCGATTTACAACCCGGGCAACATCGAAGAAAATTAGAGCGTTTCACATTTTTAAGACTCAAACTACACAAGGGTTCCACAGCCATTCTGCCGGTTGAAAAAAGGCTGAGATACGAAGCAACACATTGTGATAAACGTCACCCCCTACATAAGAAAACGGACCCCCACGGGGCCCAATCATTTGTGTAAATGTTCCTGATCACTAACTATCATTACCATAAAAACTAAGAGATTCGCCGAAAAGACGAGTGCTAGAAATCATCAAGGAATTTAATCTGGGAATTAATGCTTTTCATCAAATGTCACCCACCCGTTAGCTAATGTTTAACCAAAGCAGGGAACTGACCTATTACCAGTCAAGGAAGTATTTTGGACAAACAGCCCATATCATGCTGACCTCAGAAGTTAAAGTGTGTAACTTCTTTTTAAAAGCCACACTTTGAGATTTCCACACCTGACCGAGCAGACAAAGTCCAGCTGCTGAAGTGGAACCGGCCGTCAACGCGGGGACAGCAGCTACCCAAAGAATCTGACATGTGATGAAAAGGTGGTTTAAAAGCTCAAATTACACAAAGAGCTTTTTGTTTCAAACTTTAAAAAAAAACAGATTTTTCCAGTTCATTTCCCGTTTCAACATGTTGCTTCAACAATTTACAAAAAAAAAGAAAATTCCTCCCTCCCTCCACAGACTGTAATTAACTCAAGAGGAAGACTCCCCGTTTCAGCCTGGGGCTGATGTGTCTGTGAGCTGAGTTTTTATCTAGAGACAACTGAGAAACAACGTCCGTCACCACAGCAACACTCCCGTCAAACATACCGAGGGAAAAAAAAAGACGAGGCCGGTCTTTGAAAAACACATTATTTATCATTTCTTTGTTGAAGTTAAAAAAAAAAAATGTAATCAAAGAATGAAAAAAGTGGACAGACACATGGTAATTTTTTCACTGGAAGATCAACAGCTTCAAAGTTGTGACTCAAGAGTCCCACAGTCTGAGAGCATGAATCAGCAGCCCCAAACCAAACAGTGGAAAAACGAGCAACCTTTCCTCTTCCTAGAGCTGAAATACATCTTTGGCGTGACGTAGAAACGGTGCGTTGTGCCAGCTCAGGTCTTTTGAAAATAGAGAGGAGCCCCGACCGCATGCTTCTGTCCTCAGAGCTCACACTCTCAGGTACGCCACCTGTAAAGAGCACACAGGAGTTAAGGAACAGGCTGAAAAATAACATTTGTTGAACTTTTTTTGGGAAAACTCCCGGTTGTCTTTTTAAGGTTTATTTTTGTTCCCGCAAGCAACAACGCCCCGTTTTTCTACAATCTGTTAATCAGGACAGTAACAATATTTGTTAGAAAGAACAAAAAAAAAAGAGAACCAAAACGAAGCAGATGGTAGATTATAATGAACTTCAAACGGGCCCGTTCAGAGGCAGGAGATGAGGCGGGCAGCTCGTCTCCCTCCGTGTGCTGCAGAGCGTGGCTTCCCTCCACTGTTGGAATGATGGATGGGGGCGTTTGCCCCGGCCGAGGCCCCGTCTTTACGCCAGTGTCTGCTCACCACTCCAGCGCATCGCCGCTAATCAAACAAATGATAAGAGACGGCGAGCGGGGGGGGGGGCACTCTGGGCCCGGTCTTTGGAGATAAGAGAGAAGGTGTGCAAACGGGAGTCTGGACAGCCTGTGTTTGCAAGGAACTGATCCCTCAGGGAAGAACAAAAAAATGAAAAAAAGGGGGAACATTTAAAAAGGTACATCGTACTCAGAGGTAAAAATGGACCCATCACAGGAGGGCCGTCTATTTCAGTCCCTGAGTTAATGCGCCCCCCCCCCCTTCAAACAAAATAAGTTTGATATTGTATTGACTTAAAAAAACAAAGTGAGAAAAACTATGATATCTGGGGTTTCTCACAAGAAATTCGGTTTAAGGCTACCAAAGGCTAAATTTATACCTAAAGGCCTGCTACAAGTACTGAACAGACCCACAGAAACAGAAACAAGCTAACCCTCGCCCAAGTTAGTCGCCTGGTTTTGAAAGCTAATTCAAACTTTTCCCTCTAGTTTTATACTTCTTCTTTCAGGATTCCTTCTCTTCTCTCTCAGCTCCGCCTCTGTGTTCCCCTTACTGGGAACACAGCTACTGATGCCTCTCCTAATCCAAATCCACTGACCGGACCTTACCGACACATCTCTCACTATTTTCCTCACACTGTCCGGTTAAACCCAACTGCAGACTTTGCTACAGATCCTCCACGTCCCACTTCCGCTGGACCGAACTTTCAATCCTCTCTGCTCTGCTTCTGCCCCTACTTCTACAGACCTAAGCGTTTTCCTCTCACTGAGTCTTCCCGGGGAACAGTGAGCTCTACAAAATAGACTCTTCCTACCTCTAGAACACAAAACTATATCCAGCCTTAGACTTGTAGATGCTGTTTCCCGGGGAAGAACAAGCTTTCCTCCTAAATCTACCTGCATCTCCCAATCCCAAGCATCCTCTAAACTGCCCTGCCTCCTTATTGACTTCTGAACTTTCTCTCCTTCTTGAGCAAACTGACTCCATTTTCCCTGCTGCGGATAATGGAGTTTCATGCTCAGACAGTGGCCACATCCACCTTGGAAACAATCCAACAGAATCACCGGAATGTTTGTGATGTGGCTGGAGAGCTCAGCAGAACTGGGACTGTTTTTCCTTTCAGCTCGAGTCAGAGCGTGTGTGAGGCCTGGATGTGCCAGTGTGCGCTTACGCTACCTCAACCGTCAAGTTCGAACGGGGACTAAAACACACGATACATTAACAAGACACATCGTCTTTAACGCGGTTCCAAACCGCGACAGCCAATGGTGCTGCTGCACTCTGTTCTCCTGTGGAATCCAGAGAAACAACACGTCTCGCCGTAATGAGAGGCTACGTTTGGCCCTTCTGTTTTCCATCTGCACAAAGGTGATTCGGATCAGGAGCTACTGTGCTGTCGAAAGGCACTGGGATGCTGTCAATAGGCTGGTTCATATGGAGGTCTCATGAGAAAAAGCCAGTGTTAGATGTTGAGCTCCGATCAAAGCTTGGCCAGCAGTGTGGGGGAATGTTTCCTCCCTGGTGAATACGTAGACAAACGCTTGTGGAAAAGTGGACCCAAATAAAGGGGGGATGCGTAATGCAATTAAGAGATAAGAGATGGAGGAGGCTGCGTAAACAAAGCGACTCCAGCTGGACTTTTTCTGTCTATAGAGCTCTGACCGATTAAAGAAAAAAATTAAATGTAGCCAGAAATCTAACAGGCTGTTAGGAAAGTCAACTTTAACTTTAGCCGTCCTATCTTTAAAGCGCAGCTGCTGAAGAAAATGTGTTTACAATAAAAAAAACAAATAAGATTTAAGCTGTAAAGGTCAGAATGCAACTCAAGAATATAAAAGCTGCTCAGACCTTAACTTATGTTTGGCTGAGATGGTATCTGGGTCCCAGAATTGGGCATTTTGGCTCATTGACCGGATTTAAAGAGATTTTATTAGAGCGGGGTGATCCTGATAGAAATGTCCTTCAGCCGCGTGGCTCTGCAGACTCAAACGGACCCACTGTGACGCAAATAGTTGATAGAATTAGCGAAAAGTGGCAGATAAACGTCCGAAAAAAAAAAAAAAAAAAAGGGGAAGCCATCAAAAAAAGGCTGTCACACTGCGAAACATGCAGTGGAGAAACGAGACTGAGGAGCCCCCAAACCTTGCGGAGAGCAGCTCAATCTGAGAAAAAGGCGGCGAGGCTTTACACCCAGTGATGGAGGGTGGAGCGGCCCACACATTCCACCGGGCCCAGTAATAACAGGCTGGGTTAGGGGACAGACTTTGATCTCCTCTCGGGGGCTGGCGTTTTAGAAAAAGGAAAAAAAAAAAAGACACACACCCAGTTCAACCCTGTTAGCGGCAGACAGTCACAGAGATGTTAGACACTAACATCACAGCGGAGGGGGAGTAAAACCAGTTGGCCCATTTTCTATTCATTCATTCATAATTGTTCTTTCCTTTTATTGTGACCCATAACATTCTGACTCCATAGCTTGAAAGCAAATATTTTCTTTACTTTTACTGGTTATTTTTGTGTTTTTTAACTTTCTGTACTTCTCTCAATCTTATAGTTATAAAAAAAGAAAAGAAGCCCCAAACAAATGGAACACTATACAGCAAAGGTAACATCAGGTAAAAAGTGTTTGGGACCACGATTTGCTCTTTTTAGACAGCTTGTGCCAAGTTAAACTCTCAAAGACAAGCAATAACCAACCTCAGAATGCCCTGACGTTGTTTTTTTTTTTTTTTTTTTTTCTGCGTTCTTTCCATACTCTGGTCTTTCTCTCATTCCGTTGAGCAAGCGCACCCCTTCAGGTCACTGAGATCAGACACTCCCATATCGTGTCAAGTAATTCTAGGGGGTCTTGTGATCGCGTCACTTATAGTTAAACAGACACCAGTCATCAGAAGGCGTGTCACTTTATCACTTCTCTTTTTTTTTCTTCTCCTCCATTCCTGAAGAAGGCACTGTCTGTGCCTCCACCTACTACAGTCACCTCAGAAAAAAGCAGCTCAGCTCGCCACTGTGGAAAAATGTCTTAAAAACCAGGACAAAGAGAGCAGGATGACGATCATCAGGGTTTGTATGTGGATGGTATGTAAATACACCGCGTTTCCTGTAACTTTTAACTTTCCGGTTACTTATCACGATTATAGGGCATAAATAAACAAAAGAAAGCGCTTAACTCTGTCACAAAGACCCGCTTCTCTTTTCTAAATTCTGATTCACTTTTCCCGCTTCACAATCAAAATTTTGCCCACTTGACCACGCAAACCTGCCCTAAATTAACAGTTTATCTCAACGAATAGAAGCTTTTGGAGCAAAACCATAATGAGAATCTGTGTTTAGATGCAGGGGTGACGGAAAACGCCACCAAAACTGCAGATAAGGATCCATCTGATGGGACCCCGGCAAACATCTTACTGGCTCTGGAAGGTTATACTCGTGTGGAGTCATATATGAATAAAGAGCTCCGTTTGAAGGACTGGCACATGACTTATGTTAATTAAATGAAACCTGTGTTCGAGTGCAGGTCAGCTGCAAAACGTGGACAAAAAATGAACAATTACAGCTTGTTTTATCGCCAAACCAAAGAATCTTAGCTGATGAATCTCTTCCAAATAGCTGAACTGAGCAGAAGTGGTGATCCTGGATGCTTCTGGATGACACGTGGATGATATTCTCCAGGGTAAAATAATTTACTCTGGAAATGTGAACCGATCAAGAAACGCTGACAAAAAGGTGGAATTTGGAAAAGATGAGGTGGAGCGCTCAGACTAGACAGTCTACAGAGGCATATGGTGGCTGATAGATTTTTCTTTTATTTACAGACTTCAAGCTAATAAAATTCTCATAGACTGTGAGGATGCTGTGACCCTTTAAGTCAGGATCCATCTCTTAAATCTCACTTCACCTTCAGTCAACGGCCACAGCCACAACAAATCCTCAACGATTGTGATGTTTCTTTTTCTCCATCAGCTTTTTTTTTTTTGCTGCTCTCAGCTGGTGGGAAACTCGTCTCAACTGCAGGAGTCTCCATCCCAAAACTTTCTGAGCAGGAAGTGGAGGATAATGATGCTAATTAATGCCGCCGCTGCGGTTTAAAGCGGCCCAGAGAATGGAGCTGTCGGCCAAGTGAACACCTCCTATTTTCTAGTCAAAGGCTTCCTCTCGGCAGCCCGGGATAACTAGACAGTTAGCGCAATTACAGGTACGCGGACGGAGGAATGAGGCTGACAAAAGGGAAAAAAGCGGTACGTTCGCCCCGCATAATCCCTGAAGCGAGAACCGGTAACCGAGAGCTGGGAAATTAATTAAGGGTGGCGCTGAGTGACGGGGAAAACAAAGTGCTGCGCGTCTGGAGGGAGAGCGAGGGGGAAGCGGCCGCTGACGGCTGAAGCTTTTTACCGGACCGGACTTTTTTCCTGAAAAAAAAATAGCTATGTCGGCAGGAAGTGCCTCACCTGGTAGGACCTCATGCAGCGCATGGAGGCCGGGAGGGCGGAGTTGCTGTCGTTGACGACCTGCAGAAGCTCCTGGCAGACTTTGGGAGGCAGCACCACGGGGTGTCCCACAGCGGTGGCCTCCCAGCTGGCGGCTATCCTGCAGACACAGACGCACACGGCCAAGCGTTATTCATTGGAGGGGGCTTTTACCTAAAAAGAAACTAAAACTGTGGTTTTAACCTTTCTGCCTTCAAAATGCAGCAGTCATTTCTCTGCTGATGAAAAGACATCCTGTTTAACTCACTGCTGAGGATGCTGTGACCTGACATTGGGTAGGTGGTGGTGGGGGGGTAAACAGCGGTTCCTGGGAGGGAAATCTAATTTTAAACGGTGCCTGCTGTTTCAACGAGTCTCCGTTTGCCGCCGTACAAAACCGCGATGGGGCCCGGAACTTTCACTCGGCACTAATCAGCTCGCCGCCATTAGCGCCGGGCGTAATCCACTTAGGGCGCTGGCTCGCTGCTCCTGCAGCCAATTATTGGCAGTTTAAACAACACGAGCGGCAGCATCCAGCCGCACTGGGCCGGAACAGACTGTATCCCCGGTAAGAAGCACCCCCCCCCCCCCCCCCCGCGTCCTGGGAATCCGGCTCCCTGGGCACAGCTTTCAATTTAAAGTGTCAGAGATGAGTGACGAAGGATGCGTGGGAGATTATGGGGGGGGGGGGTTGGGTTGGAAAAAGGGGCGAAAAAAAGGGGATTTGAAAAAAAAAAAAAGAGGTTTAGGTTGAAATGTTATGGGGTCGCTGGTGTGGGGCTTCTTCTGACCAGTTTGTTGTTCACAGCTTAAAAATCCGGCGCACAGCTGATCTTAACAGTCTTAAAATGATGGATGAAATTCTCCGCATGGAACAGTGGAGAAACCAATCATTATTGCTCACTGACGATGGCTGTAAGGGGTGAGAAACCACTGAAATGAAATGCTGGGAAGCCTGAGCACGAGTAGCACAAGTTTACTTGTGTTTACTTTGAATAGAGAAGTTAAGAGGGGCAAACATTGTACAAAAACATAAACTATTTATACCATATATGTACACAAATATACGGCCTTAGGGATACAGATGAGTTTTTAGGGGGATGATTGCTGCTCCATAGTGACATTAATAAGTTGTTTTGACATTCGGATGAATACAGCTTTAATCAGCAGAATGTCAATCCATGCTGATTCCCAACCGAATCACGACATAAAACATCAGAGTTGAATAGCGGCCACAAAGCGGAAAGTGGGATCCATCAAGTTTTAGGGGTGTAGACCTAAAGTGGAGGGACAGCAGCCCCTCAAACAATCGACAGTCTGAGACAGACAAAACAGTTAGAAACACTCAAATATGAAGGGTGAGCTCTCATTTCATTTACAAGGCAGCTGCTGAGTCAGCTTGCTCTGCCAGTGTAAAGCTTGATGTTTAGCAGTGAGGCGCGTGTCTCTGAGGCTCCCGCATCCTTCAGCTCTGACAGCTAATCGAATCATTCCGCTTTAGTTTCGCTACTTTGACGGAGGAGCTCCTTTTTTCTGTGCGAGCTTTCGCTCTTCATCTGTTAGCAAGCAGGCACGTCAAAATAAGGATGATAAAACAAAACAAAACAAGCCGAACCCTCCCCGTTCTCGCCTTTACGCCTGCTGGCTGCGGTTGAGAGGGGAAAAACAGGGGGAGGACGGGGACGCGGAGCTGATGCTGATTCGGTTGAAAAATAATGAGGGTTGAAGGCTCTTTCGGGGGGGGGAGCTGCGGCAGCCGTGCTTCGTGGAGAAGGAAGACGTGTCCTGACTTACTCTCTCTGCGGGGGGCCGGCGTCGGGGCAGTTGATGTAGAGGAGCTTCAGCGCTCTGGTGGCTCTGGGCCGGGAGGGAGAGCCGACGGAGAGCTGCTCTGGGACCGAGGCCGTGATGGAGTCGCTGTTCAGCAGCCAGATCTGCGGGGCGGGGGGGGGAGGGGGGAAGCACACAGGTCACTTTCCACCTCAGAGTCTCAGAGATTATTTGTATCCAGCTGTAAAAAAAAACAACTCCTTCAGATAAATGACGTCACAAATCATGAAGGCTGAGCGTTTCCTGATGTGACGTCTTTTTTCTTGCTTCGATAGCCTGAAGCCCTTTTTTTCCCCTCATGACGGGGCCACAGGTTCTTTTTTTATTGACGAACCTGCTCCATTTTTCTCCAATTTCACACAAGATTGATTATACTGCTATTGCTATCCTGAGCGTCGGTGGGGAGCTTTTAATGTCCCGATTGAGCTGAAAGACACTTTACTGTGCCACTGAACCCAGCCCGACTAGCGATACGTCAATATGAAGGTGTGATCGGAGCAGAGACTTTCGGAGCATTTCAGACACAAACAGCTATTCCCGTCTTATGCTCGGTGGCTCTCACCAGTAGGAAGGCTTTTCCATCCGGCGTCTGAACTGAGAAGTGGAAGGTGGTCAGGGAGTTGGACAGCTGCAGCAGCCTGGCTGCTACCGTCCTCTCCAGAAAGACGGACCTGTCAACAGTAAAAGAAAAAAAAAAAGCAAATAGCCTTCACTTCCCACGTATTCCTTCAGATGAAAACAAATTATGAGGATGCTGATAAAGAAGAACCTTTCGCGCATGCTTTCAAAGTAAGATACAGCCAATAAAAGCCATCGAACCTTTCTGGTTATTTTGTTTTTACTTATTTGCATAAAAATGCTCAGAATAGGCTCATAGTACAGAATGAGGATGTGGCGCTCCACAGATCGAGCATCCATCGACCAAATGCACAGGTACAAACTTCACCGGGCCCAAAAGACCTGCTGGCAAATGTCACGGTGCCCAAGGCCATCTCGGAGGTCCTGTGCCACGATTAATTAGAACTGTTTGGGAGGTCCGTTAATAAAAAGCAGACCCTTTTAATATTCCGGTTGAGTGGTGTGTCCAGTGCAAATGGCTCCCTGAGCAGCCCACAGAGAACTTCATAGAGCTCTGTTTGCTCTGAGGAGGAGACGGCTTCTGTCGCTTTCCAAGCTAGCGACCAATCCAAACAAATACTGACAGCAAACTGTGGTCAGGCGCTCTCCACCGGTGCTACTCAGAGTGTTTAACTGGTTTTCATACACATAAGACTCCGGACAAAGCCAAACGGTAAGTGAGAGAATCTCAAGTTGCTTTGGTTTGCCAGTAGCCAAAGTAAGAGGGTATTTCTTGGTCTAAAAATGATAATAGCTCAACTTTTTACACTGCTGAGATATGAGAGCGTGTGCTCTCTGTCTCCGTCAGGGGGCTGGGAATAAAACCTGCCTGTTCAGAGAAGCTTCCGGCTGTCGATCCCCCACCGCGGGCTCCACCACCATCTGCGTGACGTAGAGTTTCAGCGTCTCTGGGAGACACAATGGGGAGAGGTGTGAGCGCGCTCCCGGCAGGTGTGTGTGCGTGAAGCTCTGTGAGAGTGGCGGGTACCTGGTGTCACGGCCTCCCCCAGCACTGAGGAGCAGCTCGCGCAGGAGAGGAGTTGGACACGGCGGCAGGCTTTCTGTGGGCGGCGGACCCAAAAACAAACAAACAAACAAACAAACAAAGACAGAGACCGTTCACCGGGATGTGGTGTAGAGGATGACAGGCAGAGAAATGTTCCGAGGTCTCTCCGGTTGTTTATGAACAAACAAAGACTGATCTCTGTTTGGAGCGGAGGGGAGATCGATCCTCATTTCAAACTTCCAGCTCCACCTCACTGACCCAGCTGGCTGACCACAGCACATCGCTCTTGTGTGTGGGGTCTGGTTCGGACAAAAAACAAAAAACAAAAGACAGGGTTCCCTGAGTGACTGGGTTCCCTGCTCACCTTAGGGTCCTGGCTGTCCGCTGTTCCGGCGGGGCTCGCTTCCTGGATCATGGTCTGCTGGCAGCTGGCATCGCGGACCACCAGGATGAAGCTGTCGCCCAGCAGGCAGTCGTCTGCCCGGGGCAACAGCTTCTTGTTGGCGAACGGATCGGCGTGGCAACACCAGTCGTCCACGATGGCGTTCCAGTTACCGTTGGGCAGAGGCAGAACTCTCTTAAACACTCTGGGGGAGGAGCATAAAAAAGAAAAACGCAGTTTAAAAAAAAAGGGAGGTTTGCTTCGACACGGTCTTTAGGCTGTGGAATAATTAGCTCTGAGGTCTTTTGGAGGGTCGGAAGCGGAAATTGGACTGCTTCAAAAAGCTCCGCTACGACGGCTGCGTTCAGTTCATTTTTGCACCACGTCTGTCTCACTGGCTGTTCTGACAGCAGCCTAGCAGCAGATGGTGCGTCCTGCACTGGAAAAGGCAGGAGAGGAATCCGACAGAGGAAAAAATAAATACGAATAATTATCACAAAAAAAAAGGAAAAAGGCCACTGAGGCTGCTCTTATAAAAAATTACCATAATAAACTTACAATTCCATTTTATAGTGCATTTGCTTTAGCCTTTTTGGGGGGAAGAGGAATGTTTTATTCTAAGTGCCTCTAAGAATAAATAGGGCATATTAGGACTGCAGTCAGCAGAACCATGAATACCTCATTTTGTTTTATTTTGCTGAGCACTTTAACTAAAGTTTGGATTTCTCCAAGTCAGTTGAGAGCCAAAAAAAAGGAAGTTTCAAGCAAGAACTATAGCTGGGGGGCAGGGGGTCTCCATAGCGCTGCTATTGCAGTTTTCAGCGTGTCACATTGCTGACCAGAGAAAGCTGCGAGACGGCGAGAGCAGCCCCAGAATCCAGCCGAACCGCCTCCAGGAGAGAAACTGTTCTGCTCCTAATGGGCGGCGTGGACCTTTACGTCTCACACACACACACACGTACACACGCGGTCTATAACCCAGTCAGGCTGACAGCTGCCCAGTCCCCCGAGGAGCCTTCCATCAATTCCCCTTTCCCAGACTTATCGTTTGGCTGGTGGCTCAGACTCGCGCCATCGATATACGAGGCGCCTCTCTTTCTGCGGAGGAGGGCGTAAATAAGAATTTTTTAGAAAACGTCTCTTCTGTCCTGTTCGCTTCCCACCTGTCCTCGAGCAGCCTGGTCATGCAGCCCTGGCAGTAGAAGCAGTAAGTCTCTTTGGCTCGGAGGGTCTCCATCATGCTGTCCGGGGTCTCTGCGGAGGGCCGAGGGAAAGCAGACAAATGAGGCCCGTCCGGCAGAAGCGTCCTAACCTTCTACGGCTGAGCACAGAAATCAATGAAATAACAATAACGGAGGACAATCAATTCAACGGAACTAGACTGTAACTAATAGCCCCGTCTTGGAACTTGTTTCCACTAAAAGATTAAATGAGGAGATCCCGTGACCTTTCACTACTCGGTCCAGCCCATCGAGGGACAGGCCGGCGTGTTCGGACCCGGGCCTCCCTGAGCCGTACCTTCATCCTGGCTCCGCCCGACGGCGATTCGCAGCCTGAAATGCAGCTCCTCCTCGCCGGACTCCCCCGCGGGCGTGGGAACGCAGGACCCCTGCTCGAAGGACACTCCCGCCGGCAGAGCCAGGCTCAGCTCCCTCTGGGGCGTCCTGATGTGGAGGGAGGACTCTCCGCCCGTCACAACCACGTCCGCAGGGTGTTTGGCCACGTTTTTCCTGGGGATCATACGATGTGAACACACGGGCTTCTAAGCGGCCTCACAGCAAACGGAAAAAAAATATCTTAAATTGGAGTAAATAAATAAGGAGCTAAAAATAAAAGTCAACTTTAAATGGAGGCTTAGACTTGAGCAAACTTTAGGGGAACATGGTGATTTTACAGAAGGCATCCGCCCTAATGGCAGCAGCTGATGCTGAATAACAGACTGCTATTTGTTTTCTACATTTAGTCTGTAAACTCTAAAATTAATGTCCCCTGAGTGTTCAGATACCGAGGCAGCTGACCTGTGACTGGAAAGCCGATTAAGCTAATTGAATCTGACAAAAACCTCTTTCTGCTTCTGTTTGTTTGTCACAGTTCTCCTAAAGAGGGAGGATCCGTTTGCACTTTCTCCTCTAGTCACGTAAAATACGAAAAAGCATTTGTCCCCGTTCCAAACACAGATGGATAATACATATAGATTTGTAATTAGTAACGCAGCACAGTCATTAATGAGCCGGCTTTGGCTGCAAAACAGAATCCTTTGTTTTGTTTCTCCCCCATCAGATGTTATGAATGGAGACATCTTAAAATTAAATAACGCAGGAAAGAACCAGAAACATTACTAGACTACGCACTGATGCAGCTGTCTAACCAAAAAGAGGTCATGACTCTCTTTCAGAACATACAAATGAGCAGAACTGAATTCCTCTGATGCTTTATAGCTGACAATGATTTCAAGAACTCTGTAATTGGCTGCTTTTCTAATCAAACCGGCACCATCTAGTGAATATTAAGGTGTACTGCAAGCATTGCCCTGCACTCAAATATATAAAAATATGATGAAAGTACGAAGAAACATACTAATTTTCAGAATTTGTCTGAGATGGACTGTTTCGATCATGCTCACTGGGCGCCTCACTGGAAAGTTGAGCAAAAACTTGATTATGCCTATTTTTCTGTAAAGCTAAAATCTGGGACATGAATGTATACCTGAAGATTATCAGTCAACATATCAACAGAATGTTAAATGGAAATGGAGAACTGAACAGAGCACGCTGGTTTGATTAGGGATCCCAAAAGTCAACTTGTGTCTGGCCTTTCAAAAATAAAAGACAATCATCCTTTCAAAACAAAGAGAAAAAAAAAAGTAGATTTCCTCAAGAATGGAGAAAATCATGTATGTGTGAAGTTGCAATAAAATCAATATCCACACCTGCCAGACCAGGGTACATATTTTAAACACCTCATATTATCCCTCATGTGAGCCCCTATGAGTAAAAAGTCTTGATTCAAAAGCATTTTAAAAAATCCTACACAACTTTAATCTGAGGGAAAAAAAGACTGTACAATATATTAATTTAGTGTATGAAAAAAAAAATCAACCAAAGGAAAAAATCATCTAACAAGGAAAAACGTCCAAGTCAGATGTAAACAATTATCTGACTCCATTGGAGGAGACATGTCTCTTTGCTTTTCAAAGTTGAACTATTCATCCATGTAGTGTTCTTTACTGTAACTGTAAAGCCATAAACAAACAAAAGCTATTTAAAACGGTCTTTGATACGTGTTTTCGATTTTAGGAACAAGTTTTTTCTTTAAACAATCCCTGAGCGCTGAATATAACGTTTCGTTGCTGTGGTAACAGTCCGGCTAAGTTAGCTAACGCTCCTAACTTAGCCTAGCTTGTAGAGTAAGCTAGTCAAGATACGTGACAGTACTGAGAGGTTACTGAGAGTAATTATCTGTTTTGTTCATTTTCTTTATAATTTACCCAACAATAAGAAGTCCACTCTGAAGCCGTTTCCGCAGCTCCAAGAAGACTCCAGGTCCATGTGTCTTCGCTAGCATCTCGTCTGCCATTCGCACAAATCGATGTTCGTAAAGAATAAGAAAGGAAGAAATAAAACGTTCTCTAAACTACGCTCTGTCCGGGTGAACGATTATCATGAATATAATTATAGGTTCACATAGGCCTGAACATTTTCAAAAATCAGAAATCCGGCGTATGTATGCATTTACAGTGTTACTTTATCGCACGTGTAACGTGAAATGGGAACATCCGGTCACAACTTTCACAATAATAGCGAGCTAGTAAAACGTTTGGAAAGCTGACTACACTTTGTGTCACTTTTATCACAAGGTTCACCATTCACCCGAATGAAAATAAAAAAACATACCAAATGCTGAAAGTGAGATATTTTCCTGTTTCATTGGAATAATCTTAACTTGAAAATATTAGCACATCGAAAGAAATTTGGGACATCCAAAACATAAATTATGGTAGAGTTTCAACAATCTCCAAAATTAAACATCTGCACTTTGTCAGTGTCAGTTTATAAAAATAAAAGGCCTGTATGGGTAACTTGAGTGAATGGTTGCTTGCAAGTTTAACAGAAACACAAACTTTTTGGTCGACTAATCCTGGAAAAGATCTGAAATTGAATCAGACGGTTCAAACGTAAACGTGAAAGCGTGTAAAACACAACACGAAGCTGCTCCTGCGTGGAGGCTGCTCCAATCATCGAGTTTCTAAAAACCAAGCTGTGATGTTTCACACCAATAAAAGCTGTCAAACACCTCTCAGTCTTCCCTGCTGGATGCTGCGGTACTGTGTGATGACATCACCATGGCAACAGGCTGAAAGTCTGATGAATGGGACGGTCTCTCGGCGGGTGTCCGCACTAAGTTCCGTATCGATATGGTGGAGCCCGGGACCACCGGGTCGTCTAAAAACCTGATATCCCGAGTTTGATTTCTTTGAGGCCGGATATTTCAACGTACTCATCTTTCCACAATGGGACTGTTTTTTTATTTTTTATTATTATCTCGGTTAAAATTGCAAAGCAAAGAGCAACTTTTCGACACCGGTCAAGCGTTTCGGTTTTATTGTGAAGGCGAAGCCCCTCGTTTCCGCTATGGTTCCGTGTTTTGATGGCCGACTCCACGGCGGCAGCGGATAGGCGGAGGACGTCCATGCGGAAGACCCGTTGGACTCTCCGGGTTGGACGTACAGCTAATCTGCAGTGCAGTCTGGGAACTGTCAATCGTTTTAGCTTTGTATCTCTGGTGATGGCAGCTACTATCCGTTCACTTATATTTATTTACACACATTGGGACTGTTCGAAATGAAACAAGAATATGTAGTAAAAAAACAAAATTAGCTCGTGCTTTCAACGTCTCTTTGTTGAATTGTGTCGAAGGGGGTGACACCGGAGCCGGGCCCATCTTTTAAACCACCTGCTAAAAAGCTAGCTTGGGAGACATATTACTGACGTTGTCAGCCGTTTTTACTCATCCAGTCTTGTCGATGACTAAATGACAGTGGTTTGTACTGAAACGGTAAGATTCTTCTTTTTCCCCCCCCTTTTCTACAAGTTGTGGTGTGGAATAAGACGACCTAGCTAGGAGTAACATAGCTGTGTTAGCTTGATGGTAAACAGTATTTTTCAAAACAGACTGACCTATCCACTCCACAAAAAGTAGTAGTATAGTAGTGAATGAAAAATGTCTAGGAATATATTTATTTTGTCGTCCATTTGTTGAGGTTTCCACCTCTTAACGTTTATTAGACGGGGGGTGGTTAAATGAGGAGAGTGGACAGGTGAGAACCTGCTCGCTTCGTTCTGAGTTGTTGTTGATGGTCAAACTTAAGTTTGTGGTTTTACAGTCGTTTCTATCACAGGCTAGTATCTCTACACCTGCTGCTATATTATAGTGGAACTTAGTCACTCGACAGCGGAATTGTTAGTAAAGTATCTGCCTTCTAAACTTAAGCTTGTGAAAATACATTTCCGCTATAGCCAATCACGTGACATAAAACGGAGGCATTAAACAAACATTAACATGGGCAATAGATACAGTTTACCACATTTATTTTGGGATTATTGAAAAATCTGCGTGTGTGCTGAAACTGTAGCTTGGTTTTTAAACTGGGTGGCATAATAGAAGGAGGAATAAAACCAAATTAAGCTTACAATGAGCTTACTTGGTTGTAAAGGTGCACAGGTTAAACTCAGTCTCTGTCTATAAATAAAAGCACCTAAAGATTTACAAGCTGTTGGTTCACGGAAGCTGAAGGCCTAACAATAGCCTTCAGCCTTCACGAAAAGAGGATATGATCCGTCTTGTATTGTAACTCAGATGGGTTGTGATTAAGGGAGCATTGGCTCTTTGAACCCCTGATACTGATAGCTGATTCAATTCCAGTGGTTTATGTTTGCATGCCATAGGACTTTCTTATATAAAAAATCGGTTCTGTCTTTTTTTCTTTCCAGGTGTGATGTACATATGCATGGCCGGTGTTGTACATTAGAGTAATTACCAGCCAGGAGAATGAATGCAGAGGAGGTGGAGCTGCTCAGCGACTCCAAGTACAGGAACTATGGGGCAGCAGTTGACAAAGCCCTCAAAAACTTTGAGTATTCCAGTGAATGGGCAGACCTCATCTCTGCACTGGGCAAACTCAACAAAGTGAGCATTACACGAACCACAGTCTACATAACTCTGCAGTAGTAAAACATTTGTTTGTTCTATTGTTCTATTCCTGGTGATTGTTCTTCCTTAAATAGCATTTCACGTTTGCTTGGTAATTCTAAATGCAATCCAAAAGTTAATGAGTCTCTATTCTTTTAAATAGAACCAAATATTTTTCAGAATGGAATTATGGAATCCCTCCATTGAGAGGAAATGATAATGGAACCACTATTTGATTTTTGGAAGCCTAGTTTGGCAAATGAATGAATGCTTGTTTAAACATTTGAGCTTTTAGGAAACAGCTATTTGAAATCAGTCTTTTAAGAATGTAATTCATCAACTTGAAACAAGTAAAACCGAAACAGAAAAGTTAAAAGAGGGAAACATGTGGGTCTACCAAATTAAGACATCAAAGCATCAAGACAGAAAAGTCCAGAAAATGGAAACTGTTCAATACAAAGAAAAACAAAAGGATCTTAAGCAGAAGTCAAAGCTGATCTGTCAGCAGACAGCCTGTTTATTGGTAATATTTTTTCAGACTGTTGATGTAGATGGAGATGTTTGCCTGTATTTCTCAAAAAATCCTGCCTGTTTCAGGTTTTACAGAACAATGCAAAATATCAAGTCGTTCCCAAGAAGCTGACGATAGGCAAGCGGCTGGCCCAGTGCCTCCACCCTGCCCTGCCCAGTGGGGTCCACCGTAAGGCCTTGGAGACGTACGAGATAATCTTCAAGATCATCGGACCCAAGAGGCTGGCCAAAGACCTCTTTCTCTATAGGTAAAACACAACCGATAGCAAGCCTGTTAGATTAGCCTCAGCCGATTTCATCCCCAGTCACATGTTCGTCCTCTCTGCAGCTCCGGGCTCTTCCCTTTACTCTCCAACGCTGCTATGTCTGTGAAGCCCGTGCTGCTTGGCCTCTACGAGACCTACTATCTGCCCCTGGGAAAGACTCTGAAACCGGGACTACAGGGGCTGCTGACTGGAGTTCTACCGGGTCTGGAGGAGGGCTCAGAGTATTACGATAGGTAAGCAGGACCGAGATGGAAAGAAACTAACTCGGAATGAACTTGGTGATGGTAATGGAATCAAACGGTGGGAGTGGTGACTCTGTAAAAGCATCGTCCGGAGGAAAGAAGATTACAGATGGCATTAATGATGCATGAGCTTTTGATGAGCTTTTTTCTGTTTATGAACGACAAAATGGTTGTTAAAAGTTGTCTATTCTCTGAAAACATCCAGATCTATTTAATAAAATGGGTAATAGAGGTACAAAAGTTTTTAGAAAATGCTTTAAACCAATATAGTGTAGTAGGGGTTATTTATTAATCAGATGTTAAGGAAGATTTTCAGGAAATTATTCGTGAAGCTTCCACCAGAGGGCGCCAAGTCACAGTGCAATGGGCCAAAAGCTGGAGTGCTCTACAAAGCTATACAGCCTGTTTTGTTTTTCATGGGTCAAACAGTAACTATGCAACATTTTCCAAACCTTTGAGCCAATTTATTTAGTCCTGCATGTCGTAAGTGAGCGTTTGTGTTGGTTTTTAACAACGGGTGGGCTGTTTTAACAGGATTCTCCTTGAATGTATCAAAACATGTTCTCTGAGAGGCAGGTGTCACTCCGTTCGGCTATGAATTTCAGTATTTTCAGCTGGGTCTAGTTAATCGGGATATCTAATTCAAAACCAACTGCTTTCCAACAGTGTGGCTGTTTAACCGGTGTTTTCCCTAGAACCAACACCCTGTTGGAGAAGGTGGCAGCCGCGGTGGAGCAGTCGGCCTTCTACAGTGCCTTGTGGGGAAGCATCCTGACCAGCCCAGCCGTGCGTCTGCCTGGGGTGTCCTTTGTTCTTCTCCACCTCAACCGAAAGCTCTCCATGGAGGACCAGCTCTACGTGATGGGCAGTGACATCGAACTCATGGTGCGTAAGCTATTATTATCCTCTCAATTCGGCTTGAATTGGAAAGCAGAATTCAGCTCCTGACACGTTCAATGTAGGTGTGTGTTTGTATATGAAGTTTCTTTGGTTCTTTACAGTTGGTTTATAATAAAAAAAAGATAAATACAATGTTGAAACATAATTAACCGTGTCACGTTTCATGTCCATAAATTCCCACTCTGCTCTCCTCAGGTGGAGGCCGTCAGTACGTCGGTCCAGGACTCCAGTGTCTTAGTGCAGAGGAGCACACTGGACCTAATTCTCTTCTGCTTCCCCTTCCACATGAGCCAGGTAACTCACAGTTCTAGATCTGTCAGTTCCAGGGCCCGCCGCTTTGTGTTTGGCAAAACGCCGTCATGTGTGAAGGGCTCACATGTAAGACGTGTGCTGTGTGCAGGCCACCCGCCCGGACATGATCCGGATCCTGTCAGCAGCTCTGCATGTGGTTTTAAGAAGAGACATGTCCCTGAACCGGAGACTCTACGCCTGGCTGCTGGGTGTGAAACACACACTCACACACAGTGAAAAATACTGACACTTCCAGACATCCTTCTCATCATGTGATATGGGAAATATCATAGAAATAGAGGAGCTTCTCTAACCATACGTGAAGGAAAAGCTGTTCTTCGCTAAGGGAAGAGCAGGAGTTTGTTAGATAACCATCTTTATTTATCTGTTGCTGTACTAACTTGATCATTTGTGGGTCTGGAAGCAACTCTGATGAATAAAATAGGAGATTTTATATGGTACATTTTGTTAGGACCAGAGCAGGAACATCATACTTTAGAGATTCCTACCTTAGCCAGCCAATTTTTCCAGTGTGTGATTTTTTCTTAGCATTTATTTTTTGCTTTACTTGTTTCTCTTGAAGTATGAGCTGTATATTTGTTGAATGCCCACTGTCTTATATTATTCATTTATTTTTTTAATTGCTGCTCACTGTGGGCGAACACGTCGGTAAGTACTAACATGGCTTAAACTGTGATGTGCACTCAGATTAGAAGGAGCCAAAGTCCTCAATAATGATTCCATCAGTGAGAGAGAACAGAAAAGCGTGCTGTAACTTTAAGATTTCACCGCCCCGTTCAAATCTTATCACCCTTTTATGGTTTAAAGCTTTGCCACTCTTGACCAATATGCCTAGTGATATTTTTTTTAAAGAAATATGATCTGCAGAAAAGAAATCACCAGTTAAATTTGCTTTAAAATAAATGCTTGACTCGACTCCACACAATAAATGCTATGTACAAAGCCCAGTATTCACCGCAAGTGATCCTAACTCATATTTCCTTGTTGATTTAAAGGCTTTGACAATAATGGGGTGATGACAGGCCCGCGCAGCACGCGACAGAGCAACCCAGAGGAGCACGCAAGCCACTACTTTAATACCTTCTCTAAGGACATGCTGGTCCAGGTGAGGTCCAAGCAAATACCACCTTATAGCGACGGCTGTGAAAGTTTATCTTCCATTAGGAGTGTCGGTGGGTCAGGCCCCCATTTCTCAGACCATTAAGGGATGAATGAATATTAAATTAAATTTTTTTTCCATATTTTGCAGATAGTTGGGTTAACAGAAACTGTAAAATGGTCCAAACAATAGTTGGGATTGGGTTTGTTAACCCCTGTTAAGGTCAAAAGTCGCTTTCCGTGCACCATTTCCTGTATATAAAACCAGCCCAGAGGATAGTCCCTTAACAGTGTCGGTTCAAACGGGACCTACTTCTATGGGGCTGTGGACGGCCTCTTTGTAGGGTTTTTCCTAAATCGCACACATCTTTTGTCTCCAGCAGTTTATCCTTTAATCTTTCTGCTCCCACACTCTGTCCCTGTGGGCCCGTATGCATCGTACGCTCTGCTCCTCCTATTCCCAGCAGCCCCAGCTTTGAAGACCTTCTCTTAACTGTTATGTCAGCTCTCCTGTCACGCTTTTAAACCCTCCGCCCTGCTACTCCCAGGAGTTGGAACCGGGGGCACAAAGAGCGACCAGAATGGGAAGTTTTTTTTTTCTTTTGTTTTGTTTTTTAGTGCCATCTGCTCAGAGATGATCATTAAAGCTCCCCTTTAAAAGGGAGAATGTTGGTACTACAGGGACTATCTGTGCCACGCTTCTGCAAGTTTAGAGGCAAACTGAGCATGAAGGAGACGGGGAACAATGTCATCACGAGTATGAACATGGTTCTCAATGAAAAGATGAAAATTAAATCGAGAAAAAGTTCATCGAAGCAAATGAATCTGCCTGTTTAAAAAATGGCTGAAAGAAGTCTGTGTGTGTGTTTTTTGCATGTTTTTTAGGCGATGGTTGGGATCCTTCAGGGCAAGGCCCGAGGCGGAGAGGAAGAGAGCGTCCTCATGCACGACCTCAAGCCTTTTCGCATCCTCATCAGTCTGCTGGACAAACCAGAGCTAGGTAAGCCGCTTTTTCAGTGTGGGCATGTCAGCCATTCCCATCGGGTACGTCTCACAGCCAGCCTCTCTCCCGCAGGGCCGGCCATCCTGGAGGATGTTTTAATCGAGGTCTTCCGGACTCTGCACACACAGTGCCGGGCGGAGTTGGACCTCCCAAACCAGAGCCCGTTCAGCAAAGACCACACACTCCTCAGCAGGTGAGTCCAGCAGGCAGCACGGAAAAACAGGAAATCCTAAATACGGTAATCTTACCACACAGCACAGTGTTTTAGAAGGACAAGCGTCAACTGGAAGACATTTTTCTCTCTTTTCTAGTAAACTCCGAGAGAACAAGAAGACGGCAGAACTCATTAAAACCGCCAACCTTCTGTTCAACTCGTTTGAGCCGTACTATATGTGGGACTACATCGCTCGCTGGTTTGAGGACTGCTGCAGGTCAGAGTCGCCCGCTCTCACATCAGAAAACTGAAACTTCTACTGTCAGATAATGATCTGACAGCAATCTCAATATCAACTTCAGTTTATTTATTTATTAAAACTTCTCCCATACAGAAACGATTACATAAAAACACATTAAAACAGTGATCTTTACACATTCAAGTAAATGACCTGACAAATATTTAAAAGCATACCCAATCATAACCTCTCTTTCACACAAACACACACAAAGAATGTGCCCCCACTTCCATCCCACCCCCTATCTAAACTCACACTACACCTTAAAACCAGTCTGAAGCTGTTTTGAGGAGCCAGTATCTTGGGGATAATAATCTTAATAAAGAGATGGTGGTTTTCAGGCATAGCTAAGTTGGTACAATCTGGAATCGTGTTTCTGTGGGTTGCAGAAGGACATTGAACAGCTCCATGGGTGCAGCGCGGCATGCTGGGAGTTTAGATCCCCCTGAGCTGTCTTTGGTGGAGTTCTGCCAGCTGGTCGATTTTCTGCTGGATATTGTTTCCTTGGTGAGAGTTGGTCTTTTTGTCTCATTTTTCCACCATCCTGTCCCTTCCTTTTCTCTCTTTCTGATGTCTCTTTCTAGCTTTCCTTCCCTCTTTTGTTTTTATCCAGACAATAAACTGGTTCTAATAAACTCATTATTCTACTGACACATGTTCATGTTTTTCTTTACATTTTTCCACTTTCCAATCTGCCATTATTAAACATATTTTCTCATTTCAATAGATTTCTTATGGCCCAGTTTTTGTTGAGCTGTCTTTCCTTTTCCTTTAGCTTGGATTCCACCATCAGAATTCTTTTTAAATAAATTTGCTATTCGGCACTGATAATGATAAAGTGTGAGCTTTCATTGCTAAATTTGTTTCATCAAAGAAATCACTTGTCAACAGCAATAGATTATTTTTTTAATTTGTCTTTTTTTTTTTTTTAAGTGACCCGTATTAGTGGTAACCATTACAGAGCAGGACGTTTCTGTTGGAATTCGTTTAACATCGGATAGGTTTTGATATGTTTCTTTTCCTATCCTTTAAAGTGACTCCAGCCATCCTACAAACAGTCATTTTTCTGGTGTGCACTGCATCAGAAGAAACAGTTTCTTATGACATCTCCTCTTTATTTCCGTTCCTTTCATGTTTTACTGCGTTCTTTCTGTTTCCTCTCCCCTCTCCCAGCTGTTGGTCTACATCTCTCCCTCTCCTTTACATCCAGCATGTCTACTATCAGTGCTTTCCTCTGAAATGTACAATGTCAAATCCATATAGTTAGATTTGTCATTGAACTTTGTTATTTTTTTGGTCCAGTTTTGGGATGTTCTTGCAACCCGAGTGTGTGTTGTGTGTGTGTGTGTGTGTGCGTGAACGTGTGTGTGGAGAGGGAGATGCTCTGTTTTGTGTCTGTTTGTATGTAAGCAGTCCCCACACAGGACTCTGGGTCTGCGAGAGGATTTATTTTCCCTGCTAAAATATTCTTATCTTCTTAGAAATATGCTTGTCTATAGTGAATTTCCAACCTGAATAGTTTGGAAATCCCACATTTCTTGCTCTGACCCTATTGTGAGGTGCTTTACTTTGTGTGGATGAGGGTTGAGCCTTGTGTCTGTGGCCCGTGCTCTGCTTGCTCCTGTCTGTTCAAATGATCTGCTCTTTCTCCTTGAAGCCTACTAGAAGCATGAGGGTAATCTGCCAGGTAAAGTACTGCTCTTTCCTGCTTTTTCACCTCACCCTGCTTCACTGAGGCTACGATAACATTTCTGCAACGTCCTGCCAACATCCCTCAGGTCATCTTTGTTCCTTTCCCGCTTTGAGTGTTCTTATCGCTCTGACCAACTCGCTTCCATATTTTAATGTTTAACACGGGGGGAAAAAAAGAAAAGGAAAAAAAGAACATGATCCCAAGGGATTATGGTCCGTGGTGAAAACTTACCCTGGCTGTTTGGTTTGGATCTTGTGAAAATGAAATCTTTGCCCAGTGTTAATATTTGTTCCTTTGTTTTTGTTTTTTGTTTTTTCCCTTGATATTATTTTGTAAACATGCATGCAATTTAATGCTATCATAATTCTCATATTTTGTAAGAAATATGACCAATCTTTAATTTCTACCCATATCTTATTTTTTATTTATTTATTTACAATTTTTGCTTTAATTTACTATGTTTCATTGAAATGTGTTCTGCTTGTGGATCTAAGAACCCATTTGAATCTGAAAGCTGTATATGAGATGTAAACGGGTAGGTGCGGTCAAGTTTGACTGCCATTTTCTTTGTAAGTTAGAATAACTATGACATGTTTCTAACTCAAATAAGTTATTTCAAAGATATAAGTCCAGTGTAAATCTTTGCTAACATAGTAATTGAACATATTCACCAATATTCAAAATGAGCGGTAGCTGTGCGGAAAATGCTTTAATCCATTAGTTTTTCTCACCACTTGCCAACCTTTTCAGGAAACCTACATAGAAATCCAGACGGAGCATCTCCCTCAGCTGCTCCTGCGGATGGTGGCAGCTCTGACGTGTCACCTGCCGGCCCTGGGCCTGGAGGAGCTCACCCACTGCCTTCGCCTGTGCTCAAAGATCCTCAGCAAAGTTCAGCCCCCGCTGGTCTCCCCTCTGGCACTGCCCGTGGGCCCCCAGGCTCAGGGCCTCTCCAACTCCGCCAGCAATCAATCAGCCTCAGCAAGGGACAAAAGCAGAAACACGGAGGTGAGACGGGTGGGGAGAATCCCTTCAGGCGTCATAAACAATAGCAGATATCAGTTGGCCAGCATACGCATTCACATCAGCTTCTCCTGATGGTTTGATACTGATTGGACCCAAGTGTCTGACTTTATTAGATGCAGGCTGGAAAGAAAAGTTTTCCACAGGCCTTGCATTAGTTTTAGTTGCGGTGCTTGTCTATGACAAAAACTACTCTTTAGTTGTGATCCTTTGAAATTGTTTGAAACAAACTAGGCCCCTTTTGTAGCCATACGACACATAAAACCCAAGTGTGTTCTCCCTCATCTACTCCCCTTCCAAGTTACTGCCCAAAGGTTCACTACTTCAGGCTCTGATGGTGTGTCCTGGTCCCTGAGCAGGGCCTCCTGCTCCGGCCTGCAGCACAGTTGGCTCAGCGGCCGTCCCGCACTCCCTCGACGCTAGACATTTGAAGACTTGCTCAGAGCAAATGGTCTGTTTGGTTTGTTGTGGTCCTTCTGGTCTTCACCAACCTGGCTGTTTAAGTGTTTTGTAAGCTATTGAGCCATGATTAAACGTTCAGAGCCGCCTTCCCATTGATGGATAGGGGCAGGATGGACCCAGGTAGACCCATGAGGAAAGGGGCAAAGGATGAGTAGAATGACAGAAGATGTTTAACCGACAGCTGAGCCCGGCATACATTTCTCTCTCTCTCTTTCCCTCTAAGGAAATAGATGAGTAAACTGGCTTGAGATGCCTCCAGGGTGTTCTGTGTCCATCAGAGTGGAAAATGTTTGCTATAACTGTAATGCTCCCACCCCCATCCCCGGAGGGGTCCCGTGGAGAACATTGTAGCTAACGCGCCATCTGAGTCCAGGCAGCAGAAAGTGCACACCGCCTCCATCAAAGTGTGTGTGTGTGTCCCCCCCCCCCCCCCCCCCACACACACAGGAGGCCTGGGACAAAGCATTAGAAGGGCTTGAATCAGTGGCTCTGTCTGCAGCAGGATGCTTCCCCGGGGTCTAAACGGGTCCCTCAGCTCAAGCCCATCGGCCGAGTGCACAGCCTCACCTTTTAAAGACCAGTACACAGAACACAGCTACTTATGCCACTACATCCGTGGCAGAAGTGGCCGAACAGGATGCAGGTTTTATGCTGACAAAAAAGCGCAGGTGTGTCCTGTTGTGTGTTACATAGTTGAGCATAGTTGTACTTTATCATAAAAAATAAAGGCAGATGAATGGCTTTTATTCTTCTTTAGGATTAAGATTCTTCAATCAATGAACGAATATGGTCCGGTAAAGGCTTAGAGATGCACAAATTAAATTAAATTGCCAAACACTGATCAACAAAAAAATGTCATTTGTATTTCGGCAGCCTTGAGATTTATGGTACAGTTTAGATACTTAATTTTTTCAGGTCAATTCATCTCGTCAAACTAAGAATGAACTTTTTCAAAAATTCTAACGTGTCCTAAAATCAAACCTACTGTTGTGTTTTCTTGTCAGCCTCCATCTTCTGCTCCGGAGATACCGGCCAGTGGGGAGGTGTTCGACGACAGAGAAACCCCTGCCGGCTTCCGCCCCTCTGAGAGCGGCTTCACAGACTTTGTGCAGTACCAGGGAGATGCTCTTGAGGAGAGGGAGCGAGCCCCCCAACCTCCCCCCGCCGTCAAAACGGGCACTCGCTCCTCAGGCCCGTGTCCGGCCAAACCTCTGGACAAACCGGTCATGCAGTGCTGCCTGGACCACTTCCAGCAGTTCCTTTCCCGCCTCATCGGCTTGCACATAATCCCCGGCCAGGGGGACAACGCTGGGGGTCTGAGAGGCCAGCTCATGCCCTCAGGGCCCCCGCTTTCAAGCAGTTCCACACCTGCCGATCCATGCTCAGGATCTGGACCGGTCCCCAGAGAGCATGTTGCCGCCTTCACTGCTGCCTGTCAGCTCTTCTTAGAATGCTCCAGCTTCCCCGTCTACATCGCCGAGGGCAACGTTAAGTCCTCCCCCACCCAGGAGGAGCAGATCGGTAAGTCCCAGAAGTCTCGATGTTTGAATTCAAAGGGATTTTAAGAATGGGGAATTACCGTCTCATGTCGCCACAGACAGCGAGCTGGTGCGGCTGCCAGAGTGGCTGCAGACGCTGATGGACGCCTGTTGCCTGGCTAACGACTTCAGCCTGCAGGGCATAGCCATCTCCCTGCTGATGGATCTCGTGGGGCTCACCCAGTCCGTCGCCATGGTGGCGGCTGAGAGCGTGGCCTCGGCCGGCGGCGCCGAACCCACTCAGCCGATGAGTCCCAGCCAGGGTCGCGTGGCAGTCGTCATCAGGCCCCCACTCACTCAGGGAATCCTCAAATACATCGCGGACAAGACGGACTTCTTCAAGGTAGAGGTTGTTGTTGTCTTAGGATACTTCTGATGGCCTTTGACCTTTTTTTTAACCCCCTCGTTTTGCAACGCTCAGAGCGTAGCCTTGATCTTGTGGAACCAGCTGAGCGAGGCGACCCCTCAGCACCATCAGCGCAGCGTGGAGCTCTTCTACCAGCTTCACAACCTGGTCCCATCCTCCAGCATCTGTGAGGATGTCATCAGCCAGCAACTCATGCACAGGGACAAGGTCAGCATGCCGGGGCCATTTTGGCTCCCCTCTTCAACCAAAGCGATTTAAAACAAAAAGAAGAAGTTGATCCTACTGGATCAAGCTGTTTGTGGAGCTTATGCCTTTTTCTTTTTGGTATGCCATGGTATGTAAAAACAAAAGCTAGTTCTTTTTTTAGATTAGCCTCATCTGAGAGCAGATAAACCAGACAGGAAGTCACACATGGGACCCTTTCAGAAAATCTGGTCTTATAATGAAATCATCTGTGCAGACTTAAGATTAGATATTATGGCACCACACCAGAATTTAACCAGCACTGATACTTTCTGTAGGAACTCGTACAAATCTATGCTGAATTATCTGTCTGTTTCAGAGGATTCATTTGGAGGCCCATGTTAAGTTCTCCGTTCTGTGGCATTTAACACGAGATCTGAACATCACCAAGGCTTCTCCCTTCAGTCGCACATTCGACAGGTACGTTTGAGTGTGTGGAGCCACAGAGCTGCTGCTGTTTTATTAGCGTGTTGTAACGCATTGGCCCTCGTCCACTTTCAGGTCTCTCTTCATCATGCTGGACAGCCTGAGCTATTGGGATCCGTGCACCAGCGCGGTGGGTCGGGCATGGCTGAACCAGGTCCTCCAGAGGCATGACATCGCCCGGGTCCTTGAGCCACTCCTCCTCCTCCTGCTCCATCCCAAGACCCACAGGGTCTCCATTCAGAGAGTACAAGCACAGCGGCACTGGGCCCAGGTGTTCCCGGACCCACCAGAACCCGAGTCCTCGGACCCTATCTACAACAGAGACTCTGGCTTCTCTGACAGTGAGCAGTGGATATTGACTCTATGATAAGAATGTCTCCTGAAAGTGTCTACTATTTCTTTAGATGTAATGTTTCTGCTTTTTTCCGTTCTTTTTTTTCTTTTAAACCAGACTTCGGTCAGATCCAGAGTAATAGGGCTGCTCAGGCGGGGTTCCCGGGCCTGGTGGTGAGGGACATGGAGCCCTTCTGTCTCACTGTCAACCCTCTGAGCGACAGTTTGTCCATCCTGAGCCTGAGCAGTGAGAACTTGCATCTAGCCGGTGAATATCCGGCTGGTGACCAGCAGGGGGAGCCGCACAGCTCCGAGTCCAGCGGCTCTCACTCGTCTACGGTTGAAAACGGCAGCTTTGAGGAGCCAGACGGGGTCGGCGGCTTAGTAAACGGCTCCGGTCAAAAGCCGGGCCCCTCAGACGACATTTCAGAGGACTCCGTCGAAGAAGTCGTGTCCTGCGTCGTAAAAGAACTGGTCGACAGGGTTCTGAATCTAACAGATGAGGAGTCTCTCGAAGCGTCCCCTCCGCCCGAAAACTGGCCCCAAACCGACACCGACAGCACTTCCTCCGATACCTCCGCCGGCCCCCGACAGGACGGCTGCCCCCCCCGCGGCCCCGGCCACCAGACCCTGCCGGAGATGTTGGCCGGAGGTACGTTGGAGCTGCTCTGCGTGACACCGGCCGACGCGCCGTCAGAGGAGCAGCACAAACACGCCATCGCCCGCCACAGCTCCTCCCCCTCCATCGTCACCCTGCCGGACAGCTCCGAGCCGGCCACGCCCGACCACGGCCTGCAGGTGGACGACCCGCAGGCCCGCAAGCGCAGCCACAGCAGCACCCAGCTCAGCCTGAAGGGCAAGATCATGGAGAGACTGGCGGACAAGTCTCCCGGGGCCAAGCCGAAGGTGAAAAAGTCCAAGAGGAAAGAGGAGGAGCGGCTGAGGAAAGCGGCAAATCAAGCGGACAAGCTCCGCCCTCCCAGCATTTTCTTCGGAGACAGCTTGGACCTGGAGAACTGGTACAGCTGCGGGGAGGGCGAGGTGTCGGAGATCGAGAGTGACAGCGGCTCCCCGAGCGGGGGCTCCGGCGGGACCGTCGCCGGCCGCCGGTCCTCCTCCTCCCCCCCTCAGTTTAACATCCACCCCCTCTACCAGCACGTGCTGCTCTACCTCCAGCTGTACGACTCCTCCCGGGCGCTGCACGCCCTGTCGGCCGTCGCCGCCATGCTTCGGGCCGCCCCCTCAGGCTTCGTCAGCGCCATCTCCACCACCAGCATCAACAACACCTACACCCCACAGCTGTCCTTGCTCCAAAACCTGCTGGCCCGCCACCGCATCTCGGTCATGGGCAAAGACTTCTACTGCCCCATCCCCCAGGACTCCCACTCCCACTCTTTCCGCAGCGCCATGTACCTGGAGATCATCATCTCGCTCTGCCTCTACTTCCTCCGGAGCTACTACTCCGCCCACGTGACGGCCGGGCCGCAGGACCTGGCGGGCAACCGGGCCATGCAGCTGACCAGCGTGGAGGTCCTGACCCTCCTTTTCAGCGAGCTGGCCAAAGCGACCGGGGGCTCGGCGAAGGGCTTCGCCAGTTTCATCAGCGACGTCCTCTCCAAGTGCAAAGTGCAGAAGGTGGTCCTGCACTGCTTGCTGTCTTCCATCTTCAGCGCCCAGAAGTGGCACGAGCAGCGGGCGGCGGGGGCCAACGCCGCCTCGGTGGAGGAGGGCCTCTCGGAGGACAGCGTCATCAACCTGTCGGAGGACCAGATCGACAGCTGCAGCGCCGTCCAGTCGCAGCTGCTCCGGCTGCTGCAGAGCCTGGTGGTGCTGGAGCACCGGGTGCTGGCGCCCGCCGACGAGGCGGCGGAGGGGGGGCCGGCGGGCGGCGGGGCGGGGGCCGGAGGGGCCGGAGGGGCCGGGGGCGGCGGAGGAGGAGGGGCCGGGTTCGAGATCCTGGGCGGGGAGGTGGAGCACGTCAACCCGCAGCAGCCAATGACGTCGCTCCAGTACCTCCACGGACAGCCAATCACGTCACAGGGCATGTTCCTGTGCGCGGTGATCAGGGCCCTGCACCAGCACCACGCCTGCAAGATGCACCCCCAGTGGATAGGACTCATCACCGCCACCCTGCCCTACATGGGGAGGGTGCTGAGGAGGGTGGTGGCCTCGGTGACTCTGCAGCTGTGCAGAAACCTGGATAACCTTCTCCAGCAGTACCGCTACGAGACCGGGATAACAGACACCAGGTATTGAGGTTTGGATTTGGATTTCCCTGTGAACTGCAAGGGTTTGGTCACCAGAGGGCACTGTTGACCAGCAGATGCTTTGACCCTTAGTTTTTTTCCCCTCCTAATGTAAAATGTATATTTAAATAGAACAAAAGTTTCAACTTTTATATTCTCCAACAATGTCAGACCCCAATGGATGGCCCTCTGCATCCCTCCCGACCTGATCCTGACTGTGCTGGAGGGAGTGACTTCCATCATCCATTACTGCCTCCTGGATCCTACGTCTCAGTACCACCAGGTGAGGGCAGCATGCGCCCACTGAACGCAGCACAGGCAATGTGTTCCTTATTAGAAAAGGATATTTTAAAAACCCATTTGAGTTTTTATTTAGAAACCTTAATGTGCGATATGCAATATTTTTTTTTATTTATTTTTTTGTCTGTAAATGGAATCAAACTGGAAATCCTCTGACATTTTTCCTGAGCACCATTGATGCACAGAGCTTAACACATTTATTAGACCATCTAATTGTTATCTATTTGGGAATTGCCACATTTTGATAATTAAAAACATAATTATTCAAACAAATCTTTCTCCTCCATTAGTTCCAGTATTCCAGGTGTTTCTGGATGTTGGCAGTTCTTAGTAATTAGTAATTATTCCCCTTTAGGCTTCTTCTATTAGTCTTAATAATCACTTTCCAAAACTTGAATCTTGCTTCTTTCTTTGCTCCTTCACACCCCCTTCATTTGCCTCTGTTAATCTTTTTTATTTTCCTGCCTATTTCCTGGCTCACTTTGAAAATACAGTTATCTGCAATGGACTCCAAAGCTTTTAATTTAAGACAAATGTGCCATAAACCTGGTGGTCTGATAAATTTGATAAGCACCGCATGTATACCATTGTCACTCTTTACTAACACCATGTTGTTGGGCTAAGCCCTGGCCATTTATTTTCATATATGAATCGGTGTATCCATTCTTAGCGTGGTGTTGTTGTTGTGCGTTTTGCTTCAGCTACAAGTGAGCGTGGACCAGAAGCACCTGGCCGAGGCCCGCTCGGGCATCCTGTCCATCCTGCACACCATCATGTCCTCCGTCACCCTGCTGTGGAGTATCCTCCATCAGGCCGACAGCTCAGACAAGCCAGCTGCTGCTTCAGCTACTTTCACATCCAACATTAACCTGGGCTCGACAAAAGTACGTCGTCTCCATGGCTTTTCCCCGTCAAGCGTTCGATATTGTAAATTGATGCCATTAAAAAAGCATGAGTAGTTAAAGCCTGAATAGGTATAACCAAAATCTTTTTACACAAACTTGTCAAAGTGACTCAATAGTGTAGATTATTTAGATGTAAGGTTTTTTTCCACATCACTTAATAATCTTTTAGTGGCTTTTTGTTTTGAGCTTCATCAATTTCAGTTGAAATAAGTGTGGTATGAGAGAGGAATGATGGCACACTTACTTAATATGTAATACGTTTGCTTATAATGATGCTTCATCTAACTTCCGTACGTCTGATCAACAGAACCTCCGTCAGCAGATCCTGGAGCTTCTGGGTCCAATCTCCATGAACCACGGCGCTCATTTCATGGCAGCCATAGCGTATGTCTGGAATGAGCGGAAGCAGGTCAAAGCCCCTGTGCGAAATAAGGTACAGAGCCCCATTTTGAGCTTTAACCAAGCGACGAGCGTCGCGTGGCTTTTTTTAGCCCTACACTCCAGTTTGTCTCTGTTTGAGAGCACGCTTTAAAAGCTTTAACTTCCACCACTGAGGATTCACAGAGGCCCCATTTCAGGTGATTCCTGTAGCCAGCGAGGAGCAGCTGCTGCTGGTGGAGCTGGTTCGCTCGGTGAGCGCCATGCGCATCGAGACCGTCATGCAGACGGTCAAAGAGGTCCTAAAGCAGCCGCCGGCCATCGCAAAGGACAAGGTTGGTTTTAATGTTTGCTTATGGGCTTCAGTGCTTTCATGCTTACAAAGAGTAAGAGCACAGCTGAGCACAGTCCGCCGGTTGTCGTGTTTTTTTTGTTAGTTTTTTCAATGAAATAGGTCACAGTTTACTTTGGTGGTTTCAAACGGATTTATTAAATTCAGCGTTTTTCTCCTTGGTTGCAGAAGCACCTCTCTCTGGAGGTGTGCATGCTGCAGTTCTTCTACGCCTACGTACAGAGGTGAGCATGCTGCTGTAAACAGTTTTGTTTTTCTTTAGTTTTTTTGGCGCAGGAGAGCGTTTTTATTTTTTATTTTTTACACGCGATCGCGTCCCCTTTGTGTCCCAGGATTCCCGTTTCCAGTCTGGTGGACAGTTGGCCGTCGCTGCTGGCGCTGCTGAAGGACTCAGTGCAGTTGGGTTTACCAGCTCCCGGACAGTTTCTCATACTCGGGTCTGTTTTTGTTACTGTCCTCTTCCTCCATATGTCAACTGAAACTTAGTTAAACGATCAAATCATGAGTCAATCATAATCAAATCTGTTTCAATAGCTTCTTTTTTTTTCTTTAGAGTTCTGAATGAGTTCATTTTGAAGAACCCCAATTTGGAGAGTAAAAAAGACCAGCGAGAGCTGCAGGTAATCAATGTTTTGAGCCGGATTTTCAGTGGATAATTATATTGTGTAATTATCTAAGCAGTGCATGTTTTAGCTCTACAAGCTATCACCAGATTATAGGCAGACTTAAAATTCCCAAGCACATCAATACACACCCTCTTTACCAACTGGACCCCTTGATGCTTTAAGACATCAGTTACTCTTCCACTGACAGTTAAGGAACACATTAAAAGAAAAGGAGGATGTTTAACACCGCCCGGCTTTCTTTGTGTGTTCAGGACGTCACTCACAAGGTGGTGGAGGCCATTGGGACGATCGCTGGTTCCTCTTTGGAGCAAACTACATGGCTAAGGAGAAACCTCGAGGTGAAGGCGTCCCCTCAGATCGTTGTGGACGGAACCAACCTGGAAGCTGACGTAGAAGGTGTGCTTTTAACCGGCCATATCGGCCTTAGAAGGGCCGCGGTGCCGGTGGTCCGTTTTATTCTTCAGCCATTGCATTTGTTGTGCCTAAGCTTACATGAAAAAGTCTTTGCCCAATCTGAATGACCCAAGACTTTTGGTGACGACAAAATCCCAGAACCATCAAATCTTTTGCCGTTCATGAATGGAGTTTTGGCCTGGACGAGACGGATTCAGGTTTCGCTCAGGTCAAAGAGTACTCTGGACGCTTGAGCATGGCTGTAATGTGATCATTGTTCGCTGCTGGTAATGTTTGGGGCGTGTGTGTGTCTTGTAGACCTAATGCTCACAGTGATGGAGGCCTCCAGCTTCACTCCATCAGTGTACAGCGTGCACGCCCTCACGCTGCTGGCCGAGGTAAACCCCCCCCCCCCCCCAGTTCCACTCATGCTGAGCTCCTTAGAGCTCATTTATGGCCACCACTCTGTCCCTTCAGGCATTATTAATGAACCAATAAATCCATACTGGTTTGGTTTGTGCTATGCAGGCAAAGGACACCTTTACGTTCTTTCTTTTTTTTTTGCATCTTGACTGTTTTTAACTCCGTGGGAGCTTAACTGGTGTTACAGCTCATGGATTTGTGGGTTAAAGGGACAGTATATTCTGCATTATGGATGTTGGAACCATTGCTGCAGCTTGAAGGAAGCAATCAACTAATGGAATTGAACTTTTAGGTGCTGGCTCACCTGTTGGACATGGTGTTCTACAGCGACGAGAAGGAGAAGGTCATCCCTCTGCTGGTTAACATCATGCACTACGTTGTGCCCTACCTCCGCAACCACAGGTGGGAGGAGCTTCACTAAGATACACAGACCTTAGAATACACACGTCAAACTTAAGGTTGATACATCTAAATACGGCCCACGAGAGGGGGAATGCACGTTTATATATCATAACAATATTTGGGATAAACCAGTTTTTGGATAATTTTTTTTTCAACTTTTAGAAAGGTTATTGGCGTAGAATGTCTGGCATTTTTCATTGGACAAATTTGTCTATTTGTCACCATTGTCACCAAGAAAAACCTGTCCTTTTCTTTATATTTATTTCACAGAGGAAAACGTTATCGCTCTCTGGATAACGAGTTTGACACCTTTGCGTTCGAAGGTCCTGAACCTAAACGGCAACTTTTAGGACATTTTTATTGATTTTTGTGAAAAGCGGAGCGAACGGGAGTCGTTATAAATGTTAACTGACAGAAGTCTAGAATTGCGTTCCGAAAAGTGTGAAGCTGTAGCTGCTTGGACTCACATCAGCGCGTGCCGCTTCGTGTTTCTTTTGACAGCGCACACAACGCCCCCAGCTACCGGGCCTGCATCCAACTGCTGAGCAGCCTAAGCGGGTACCAGTACACCCGCCGCGCCTGGAAAAAGGAGGCCTTCGACCTCTTCATGGACCACACTTTCTTCCAGATGGACGCCTCCTGCGTGAGCCAGTAAGTGTGTGTGCTAATGTGTGTGTGTGTGAGTGAGCCCTGTCACAGCTGTGGCTACGTTTATTGCTGTGAAACTTCAAAACAAAATGAAAAAAAAATCCTGACACCAGTTTCACAGTTGGAAGCAGAAACGGAGCGTGTCAGTATTTATTTAAAGCGTACTGTCACATTGATGAGCTGTAAGATCGGTTGGTTCCAGTGAGCCGCTTTGTGCTGACACTGAGGGTGCATTTTAAAACAAAAGTAAATATATTTTTATCTTTGCTTGCGTTAATTAAAGTAGATCTAAAACATCTGTTCTTGTCGATATGTTTCCAAGTTCACGGAACATTAACATTGACTTTATTTATCCAGCTGGAGAGCGATCATTGACCATCTGATGACTCATGACAAGACCACATTCAGAGACCTCATGAGTGAGTATTACAGCTTCTCACAGCTTCAGCTCTAAACACATTGAATGACATCACACTCACTTTGTTTAACTCTACATTCAGCCGTAGGCAGGTATAAATGTTTCCATTAAAGACGTCAGAGCCTCGAGGGGTTTATCTTCCACTGGTGTTAGTGACCCGGCGCTGTTTTGCCTTTAGCTCGAGTGGCCGTGGCCCAAAGCAGCTCCTTGAGCCTGTTCACCAACAGAGACGCAGAGCTGGAGCAGAGGGCCATGCTGCTCAAGCGCCTGGCCTTCACCATTTACAGCAGCGAGGTGGACCAGTACCAGAAATACCTCCCGGACATACAAGGTACAACACAAGCATGTTCTCGCAGCCAGAGCTCCACCGGCAGACGAAGGACTTTGTTTTGTTTCCTTGTGTTTTGTTTTTTTACACGTTTGCTGTCTCTGTGCGTTCAGAGCGTCTGGTGGAGAGCCTCCGCCTGCCTCAGGTGCCCATCCTTCACGCCCAGGTCTTCCTGTTCTTCAGGGTGCTGTTGCTGCGCATGTCGCCACAGCACCTCACCTCCCTGTGGCCCACCATGATCACAGAGCTGGTGAGCGCGGCGTTCACCCCTTTGCGTGAGCCGCTGGTGTCCCAAACCGGGTTGAGTCACGAGCTCCCGTCTGTTTGCAGGTCCAGGTGTTTCTGCTGATGGAGCAGGAGCTGACGGCAGACGAAGACATCACGAGGTGCCCGACCCGCCCCGAAGCGGCCAGCAGCTGTAAACGAACGCCGAATCACGATATATCTCCCACCTGTTCATTTCCAGGACGTCAGGGCCATCCGTTGCTGGGTTGGAGACCACCTATTCCGGAGGAAACGGCTTCTCCACCTCCTACAACAGTCAGCGCTGGCTCAACCTCTACCTCTCTGCCTGCAAGTTCCTGGATCTGGCCTTGGCTCTGCCTCCTGAGAGCCTCCCTCAGTTCCAGATGTCAGTAGGAATAAATCTGGGTTGGCGTGGGCTTTACATGAGATGGGAATGAGTCATTGGCCTGGTTGTCATTATCTGTCAAGATCAGAGACTCGTTAACTCGGTGTCCTCTGTCATTGCAGGTACCGATGGGCCTTCATCCCTGAGGCCTCAGACGATCCAGGGCTGGAGGTGAGGCGTCAGGGGACGCACCAGAGAGAGTTCAAGCCCTACGTTGTGCGTCTGGTCAAGCTGCTCAGGAAAAGGGCCAAGGTATCACCTCCTGCTGCCTGTACTGCTCCTGAACACACTGGGCTTTCTCCGCTGAGATTTTCATTCACATTTTGTCGCACACTCCTCCTCAGAAAAATCCCGAAGAGGACTGCTCCACCAAAACCCTCTCCTGGGAGCCAGGCCACCTCATGCTGACCCTCTACGTGATCCGCAGCATGGAGCAGCTGCTGCCCTTCTTCAACCTGCTCAGTCAGGTGTTCAACAGCAAGGCCAGCTGCCGCTCGGCCCCGGCCTACACCCACAGCTCGGCCAACTCCCCCTTCCCCGGCCACAAGGAGGGCCACAAGCTGGAGACCCAGAAGGTGTTCTGGAGTCGGGCCCGACAGAACATCGAGGAGATGGTGGAGAAAGACTTTCTAGAGGGCCTCATCAAGACGTGAGGACAGAGCGAGGGCGCGGGTAGGGCTACAAAACTGACCACTAGTGAACAAACTCCTTTACTGTACAAAGAACAATGATGGGGGGTGAACAAAACAAGGGATTCTGGCTGTAAATGTTTTTTTTGTATTTATGATGATTTCACTTTTGAAAAGTGTATTTAATTTTAATTATTTGTACATATGGAGCGGCTTTGACAACTTTTAACCCTATGTGAATCCTTAAAGGCAAAGTGAAGATGCTATGCCATTCCATATCAGAGTGACTTAATAAAAGGAGAGATTTATAATAAGATAGTGGCTTGGGCTTCATTCGTTCTTGTTGATGTTTCCAGTCCACATACATGACTGGACCGACCCCTCTGTTAAGCCCCTTTAACAGCTTTAAACATCTGGGAACCGAGCAGTTGCTGGACCTCTCGCACATGAATGCAGACCCATTCCTTTTGTTATTTAGGATTCAAATTGTCTTCCGACTTCAGGCAGGTCAGTTCATCACCCACTCTCAAATCAACAATGAAGCCATTGTGATCCAACACATGCAGTAAGTTGAGCATTGTTTCGCCGAACACTTCAAAGTGTCCATTTGGGATCAAATGTTGCTGGCCTTCGTTGTTTGGGGATTTCTTTGCTGACCATATACAGAGTTTTCTATATCAGGGTCTCCAGATCTGATGATTTGTATTGTAAATGATAGAATATTAAGTCTTGCATGGAGACGTTTTTCTCTTTAATCACACATTTGTACAGCTCATCCTCCCAGAGACTCTGCCTCTTGAAGGTGCGCTCTTTCAAAGCTCTGTCTTCTTAGCTGGTAGATCAGTGACTTGTATCCTTTACACAGGGAGGCCCCAAATGTAAATCTAAATGGAATCAACGTTCCTGTTGCTTTGTAGACTTGACAAAACTATCATTTATATTTTCATCCCTTTATTAAACCTTGAAATTGTACAAAATATGTTTATTTAATCTTTTATTTGTGGGGCTCCAAGAAAATATTTCTTTCCCTTTTCTTTTGGCTTCATTATGTCATTCTGTGTTGTTGGAATTGAGTCTGGACCTATGTGAGAATGTCATCTAACTGCAAATCTACCATACCCTAAATTAAAAAGTTTGGATTTAATTCTGAACTTAATATGTATGCCATGAAGTAACATGAGGATTGTGATGCACATACATTGTGACTAAATTTATTATCAGGTAAAATAACTATAAATTTGGAGAGGGGTCACTGCTAAATTCTGCAATTAGATGCTTCGTTTTATTAACTCGTCACTTTTTATCCAGGCCACCACAGCAACAGTATCTTTTTTTGTTTGGGGATTGCACAGATTTTTGAACCCATAGAAGTAAAGCACATTATCTTTATTTCAGATTTGCAGTGGCTCTTTGTGTGTTTTAAAATTGATTTAGATTCTTAAAAGCCTATAAAGCCATTCTTCATATGCACCACAACTGGGTCAGCAGTGACTGAGATCCTCAAGCAAAGGACCAGCTGAAGACCAGAGGTGAGCTTTACAGTCCAAGAACCTAAACTCCTAAGGTCATCAGAGCCCTTTCTAAATCTTATTTAACGTATCTTGTCAATGGAATCAGATAATCTGTGTTGTTATTATACATGTATACAACAGAACTGAAATGAAGCCCCTTGTCAATCGAATGACTCGAAACTGGCCCTAATTTTTAAAAATATAATTCATATAAGATTTTTATAAATCTGTTCTTTATCTAATGATTCTTACAGGGATGCTTGCAAGAGAACCCCACATCTTTGTCCAAAGCACAGCACATCAGTGCATCTTAACCGGCTTTATCCGCATAAAGGCCCGAAAGATCAGCACCATGGCCAGAGACATGGTCCGTTTTCAGCTCTGCTGCCCTTTCCATTCACTCATTTAACCGTTTTTGGGGGCATTTGTGGTAACACGTGACCACGAAAGCATCCTCTAACGGCTGGCCTCGGAGCTGCAGGCTTCATATGACCTTCATAGCACGGGGGGCTACATGACAAGCATCATGCTTGGCTGTACAGTGTCCGCGTGAACGCTCTCGAGTCTTCTCTTTTTCTGGAGTACAGCCGTTTTTTCTCGTGTAGCCTCAACTCTCGCGGTAACAGGGTGGGATTGGGGTTGGTTGGTAACACGGCGTCACCCAACTCGGAGGAAAAGGGGGGGGGGGCGGCGTGTGGAGAAGTATAAATACATTAATAATTAAATAAGCGAGAGGGTGTAAATTTCCCAGGACGCCGTCATCCGACGACCCGGTTCCAAGCGCGTATCCGAGAGGCGTACAGGCCACTACGCGTCGGGGGGTGGGTGGGTTTGTTGGTGGAGGATGACGATGCCAGCCAGGGTCTGATGCCCCCTCTGCACGCCCGGCTGACACGCAGGGACCATCCGGCTGCTGCTGGTAGTGCTGAGGATTATCCAGGAGGCTGGAGGAAAGGAAGAGGGAGGAGGAGGGGGGAGGCAGCGACGAGCATCACGAGAGGACGATACGTCGGGAAGGCGTTTCAGTGAGAAAGCCTTCCGCGCTTAGACCGGGAGCTCGCGCTTTCTGACTCGGGACTAGGATTCCGTTATTTTTATTTTTTGTGGATATTTTCGCCACTTTAGCCCACGGACTCCGACCGCTAAGGGGACACCGGCCCTCCAGGCGAGAGTTCGGTCGGTTCGTGGTCGAACCCAGAAGCAGCGCGCGCGCGCGACCGCACGCGACGGAACGGAGAAGCGGGAAGAAACCGGCCGCTTCCGGCTGTTATGCGACCGAGCCGCTCGGAGTTCCTCCGCAAGTGTCCCACCGTCTCTGGCGTTTTCCAAGGCGGCCGGGATTACTGAAGGCTGCTTGTGTGGGAGGCTGGGGGTGGTGGGGGTGGGGGGAAGGGTGGTGGGGTTGTGGTGGAGGTGGGGGGGGTAGGACCATATCGGACGCTCAGTAGTTGAGGCAGAGCTAGAAAATGTCGGGGCAGACGCTGACGGACCGCATCGCCGCGGCCCAGTACAGCCTGACGGGCTCCGAGGTGCCCCGGGCAGTGTGCAAAGCCACCACACATGAACAGACAGCCCCAAAGAAAAAGCACCTGGAATGTAAGTCTATCTATCTATCTATCTATCTATCTATCTATCTATCTATCTATCT